TCGAAATTAGGTGGGTAAACAATGGAGATTTCGTTAGGAACACTGTGTCATATATGCAGGCGGAGAGAAAAATGAAAGAGGAGTCTGACTGATATTAAACCAAGACATGATGAAATGTGCTCTGAGATAATGGATAGTCAAATATCTGAAAGAATTAACGTAGTTAAACTGAAAGGTAAGCTTTTCAAAATATACATCATAGTTGTATATGCACCAACAGCAAAAAGTACAGAGAAAATTGAACATTTTTACTGTACGCTAAAGAATGTCAATGAAATTTGAAGTGGGACACATTAAGTGAAGCTTTAATAACATCAGCAATCGAAATCATTCCAAAGAAAACTAGACAAAGAAAAAAGAAATAAATAATAGAATTCTCGACATGATGAAACTCGAGAAATTTAAGGTAAAAAGCTATTTTTAATAATTTTTTTAATCCTTTCACTCCAAGCAAGGCAGGATTGCCACGAGTACACACGGTGTTACAGAGGGTGAAGGTGAGATAAAAGACTGAATAGAGAGGGGACCGGGGAGAGGATAAAAGCTGGACGGGGTTCAAGAAGACAGAAAATCGTGATTAACGTTGCATTTAAATTGTGAAGATTGTAGTTATCAGGGAAGCAAGGAAATAGAAGGGAGTTCCACAGGCGCGAAGTGAGAAAAGAAAAAATTAGAGTAAAAGTGGGTATAATAATAGGATGAAAAAAACAGAATATCAGCCATAAACACCTTGGCTGCCCTGTGGTGCAAAACAGCTTTAACAACCTTAATTTGACCATAGTAGACATTAAGCGAATGGGCGCCAAAACGAGAAACTTCTCACTTGTTACAGCATGCATCATCCCAAAGATGATGTTGATCTTCTGTATGTGCCCAGATCCGAAGGAGGCAGAGGCAGTACAACTAGTACTGTCCTGCTGACAACAATTGGCCTTCAAAGATACCTGTAAACCTCAAAAGACTGGATGAGGATATGTGTCAAAGAAATTTCAAAGTTATAAGCGTCTTTATTCTGTAATAAAGGAAGCCAACAAATTCAAAATAGAGTTTCAAATGGATGCAGAAATACAATTAAAGCATATTACACCGATTGAAAAGGTAAGCCTTTCAAAATATACATCATACTTGTATATACACCAACAGCAAAAAGTACAGATGAAATTGAACATTTTACTGTACGCTAAAAAGAATACCAATGAAATTCGAATCGGGATCATTAATTGAACTTTAATAACATCAGCAATCGAAATCATTCCAAAAGAAAATTAAAAAAAAAAAAAGGAATAGATAATAGAATTCTCGATATGATGAAAAGGTAATTAAATAAATTGCTGAAAACATAATATATGGAACAAATGTTTGTCATTAAAAAGGAATGGTTAAAAGAAAGATGGACAGAAATAGAAAGAATAGCTAATAAAGAGAAAAGAGGACAATTAAATCTTTCAACAGGACTAAAAATTCAGGACAAAAATTTCATATGTGTGAATGAAAATACTCCAGAAATGGAACGAATACATCAAAAGAATTCTTCCACGACAAAAGGGATAACCGTCAATACACAGAAATATTGACGGACTAGAAATATTAAAATCTGAACTGAAATCAACACTGGCCAAATTGATCAGAAACAAAGTGGAAGGACCAGACGGAATTGGAATAGAGATGGTGGCAGTCTTAAAATTTCGTTACTGACAAGAAAGAAAAAAATACAAGGTGGAATATAAAAAGACCTAATTAGATCCATTTTCATAGTGCTGCCTAAAAAGCCAGGTGCAAACGAATGTGAACTCCATTAGACAACCAGTCTAATGAGCCATATAACAAAACTTATCATCCGAATTCTGATGAAAAGAGCGCGCAGCAGAATCAGACCATAAGGAGGGTGGGGGAAGAATAGTGCGAGTTAGTTAAAGACACTGGAACAAGGAATGCGTTATTTTTGCTTAGAAGGCAATCTAGAAGAGCAATACAAATGCTGAAGGAGGTTTACCATTGTTTTATAGATTCTGCAAAAGTCTTTGATAAAGTACGCCACAAAGAACTGTTGGAATTGCTAGTTAACCTGGACATATTTGGGAAGGATATAATCCAGAACCTATACTGTCATGAATCTGCCTGTATAAGGATAGAAAATGAATTCAGTAAATGTGTAAAAGAGAAAAGGAAAGTAAGACAAGGATGAGCCTTCTCACCGGACTTATTCAACCTATATTGTAAAAAAAAAGCAAGTACAAAAATATCAAATAACTAGGAAGTGTTAAAAAACTAGGTAGTATTTTAACATTGGACGGAAAATGAGATACTTATATTCAAGTACGCATAAGGATAGCGAAAGATGCCTTCCAAAAGCTAAGCAAAGTATTAAGATACAAGAAAATCTCGTTAGAAACCACGAAGTGAGTACTGTTATGTAATACTGTTCCTCCTATATGGCAGTGAATATTGGGCAATCTTATCACAGATGAAGAAGAAATCTGAAGCAGTAGTTCTAAAGAAGGATGTTGAAAATACTATGGATTGAACATATAAGCAATAACAAATTTTTAGAGAAAATGAAAACAAAGAGTAGACTTATAATTAACATCAGAAAGAGGAAAACATAATGAGGAAAGAGGATTTAGAAATGATGACACCCACAGGACATATCAAAGGCAAAAAAGACAGAGGAAAGGCAGTGCATAGACCTAACCTAAAGAGCTTGAGTAAGTGCTTAGCAGAACGGGTATTACAAGCCAGTGCAAAAAACAAAAATTACTAAACGTTTCAAAGGATAGAAAATTGAGGAGAGCCATGATCGCCCACGTTCTGGAAGGAAAACAGCACATAAAAGAATAATACTGTGTAGAATTTCTATTTCTCTTAAACAACACTTTCTTAGTCGGGGCAAAAGCTAATATCCCTCGGATGTTACAGTCACGAACAACAATGTCGGCAGACATTAGTCTTCCTGACTAGTGTACGATATTGTCTATTACAATATCTGATGATTTGTGTATTGTAATTTCAACTGCATGTTGTCTTTTATCCTTGAGGCTATAGTCCAAAATAGATTGTATCCCAAATGCGCAATGGTATCACTACTGAGACGAACAAACCTCTACTAGTTTACAGACAAACATCAAGGTCTGCTTTCTTGCATTGTTCTAAGAGTGAAGTACATCCTGAAATCATCTGATCATCATTGAACGTTGAATTGTCTAATTTTCCACTTGAAGAACATTTTAAGTTTTGATTTGGCTGATTAAACCTATACAGAAATGGTATCCATGTGAATAAACAAGTTCCCCGAAAACAGGGCGAGATTATCAATTGTTTGTCATTTTTTCTGATGTGGAACATGAATCTGAATGAAAAAGAATTTCTGTATGTAAAAGTCACATTTATATCATTTAGACTAAATTTTTCAGACAAAATTTCCTCTTGTAATTAATCCTATTAAAATTGTGCATTTTCACCTCTTCGTGAGTTTGCACAACCGTTACACCCTGCCAATATGTCATAAATAACCGATCGTTTTGATCGCGTGTAAAGAGGGGAAAATGCACTACTTGGTTTCAGTGAAAGAAAGAAAGAAAGAAAGAAAGAAAGAAAGAAGGGAATATAGAAGAGGTGATAGAGAATCAGATTAAGCTGATAAGAACTGACCTCAAAATGCAGAGAAATTATGGAGAAAGCAATAAAAGCGTAATTTTTCAGACGCACATAATCGAAGGACGGAAACAATCGAGTAAGACAATCGTCAAAAATCCAGTTACCGTAAAGACATTTAATGGACGATTCCGTTTTGATTGCACGGAAAGACAGAAAAGGCATAGCAGAGACACTACTTGATTTCAGTGTGAAACAGAAAGAAGCGTTTAATGTCTCCTGCCAAAACCTCATAAATAATGGACTATTCCGTTTTAGATTGCGTAGAAAAACAAAAGATATACGCTACTTGGTTTCAGTGAGAAAATAAATGAAATAAAGAATGGAAGATAAAAGTTTTTACTGGCTGTTTCGGTGAAATGGAGAAATTTGTCAATTTCTAATCATTTCATTTGTAACTGCTTCTTAGATTAACGACCATTATTCATATTTATGACTGTTATTGCAATATTTTGTTAAAGTTTTTAAGCTCAAAAATTTAAGGATGTGATTAGGAAATTTGATTGTCATAGAGATCGCCATGAGCTTATTCAATCATTTAACACAAATTTCAAATAGGAAAACAGTGAAATTTCGGGGGCAATAAAAAGGCACACAGCAAAAACTCAGTCATCAGATGGACGTGGATCACCTGGCGATGACAAGTGGTTGGATCTGTAAACACCCGACAAGAATTATCTCGTTACAATGACAACACCTCAGCGATGATTACACACCATTCAAAGAAATATTCATACAACTCAGAAATATTCATAACCATGGAAAAAGTAAGTCTGATCATCTACCTGTAGGTCTATTTCCTTTTGGAACCTTTTGACAAACATTTTGAACTTCGATTTTTTATGACCAGAACAAACACAAAGTTTACAATATAAAAACAAATTGTTAATATGTCCATAAATAAATGATTATTTCAATCTGGTTTTCTTTTTTGCCTATGTAGAAAAAAATTCATTTCTTAGCGTTATGTTTTAATTGTGGGCACGACACAGGGATTTTAATTTTTCACTTTCAATCCGAGTAGACTGACCCTACAAACTGGTGACCAACCGCTGTGAGACGAAATTGCAATTTTATGATTCAAAAGAACAAGGCATCAATAATATGAGGTTCAGCCATATAATCTAAATGATCCAAATTCTCCCACAAAGTCGTGACAAAAACATAACTACAACACCAAGACTTAGAAAATGGACGCAAACACCGAATCCATGGAAATCGCGATAATTGTAAATTTACCCATTTACAACCCGACAAATGTGAAAGTCTGGCTTTCACAATTAAATGCAAATTTTAACGCAAACAAAATCACATCGCAAATCTCACAATATGCCTACGTTTTCGAAAACCCCTCCGCAGACGCAGCGACGGAGGTAGTCGATCTCCTTGACGAGATGCCTGAAGAAAAACGATCCGTTGAAAAATGTAATTATTAGGCGTGTCGGAAAATCAGATGAGAGACGCGGTTACACGAGATCTAGTCAATAATTTTAATCTGGGACACATGAAACCTTCACAGCTTCTGAGGAAAATGCGATCGTTATTAGGAGATAATACCATGTCCGAAGCAGTGTTAAAAAAATTATTTGCGGACAAACTACGAACGCACACAACTTGCATCTCTCCCCGATGATATAAGAGTTAGAAATAGTATCAGAAATAGTGGACAAAATACATGACAACAACAAGGAGAAAAGCGTATACGCCACATCGCATATACCAACAACTACAGCAACACCATCCGGTAGGTCAGAAGAATTATCTCAGATACATCAAAATATGGCCAACCTTTCCATACAAGTAGAATTTGGTACGAAGGCAAAAATTTCAGCGTTCTAGTCAAGAGATCACCACGCAGAAGTCGAGGCAAGTTCAACTCATTCTCCAGAGAACGACGACTTACCTACGATACCTGTTGGTATCATTATAATTTTGGAAAAGAGGCAAAGTACTATGCAATCCTACACAACGCCAGGGAAACGATCACTCGGACAGCATGTAAAGATGACCTTAGTTGCTGGAATGCGACAAGAATGTCGTCTATTTTACATCCAGGACAGAAATACAGGATATTTTAGTAGAGACCGGTGCACAAATCAGTGTTATTTCACCGGATCCTAACCAAAAACATACACTATCCACATACTCACTACCGATTGCAAATGAATCAAAAATAGAGACATACAGAGAGATATCAGTAATGCTCAATTTGGGATTACGATGATTTTTCTATGGATTTTCACACGAGCGCAAGTGAAAACACCAATTCTAGGAGTGGATTTTTTTTTTATCTCACTTCGACCTTTCAGTGAATATGGTGACACACTCTCTCATCGACGGTAACGCAAATTTAGAGGCAAAGTGAATCACCCAACTCTACATGTCAACAGGAATTAGTCCTGCAATACCAACTGCTAATGGACTGCAGGAATAAAAAAAATGTCCTACTCTTGCTACGCCTTTGAAACATACAGACGAAATTCGTCACGCTGTTAAACATTATATTACAACTGGACCACCTACACGCACATCATCATCACGCAGATTGCATTAGTGAAATATAAAATAGTAAAAGACGAATTTCAACATGTTGCAATTAGGCATCATACGTCCATCAAATAATCCATACTCCTCTCCACTACACATGGTTCCAAAGCCAGACACATGCGCATGGCGACCTTGTGGGGATTTTAGGAAACTTAACGCAAAAACAGTTCTAGATAAATACCCAATCCCACATTTACACGATTTCGCCATAGGTTTACACAGTTTTCATAAAACTGGATTTGGTTAAGACATATTACCAAATTCCAGTAGTAGAAGACATAAAAAAAATAAAAATTACCATTCCTTTCAGACTTTATGATTTCCCTAGGATGCTATTTCGGTTATGTGACGTTGCCCAAACTTTTCAGGAACTTATCCACAAAATTTTGAGAGGATTCACTTTTGTTTTTGCTTATATTGATGACGTTCTTATCGATAGTCAAGACAATAAAGAACACCAAATCCACATATATCAAGTTTTCGAGATCATGGCTCTCCACTATTTCCATTTTTGTAGTTGCTAAATAAATTATCAGTAGTCAAGACAATAAAGAACACCAAGTCCACATACAAGTTTTCGAGAGACTGATTCATTTCGGGTTGAAAACCAATGTAAATAAATGTGCGGTTTCAAAATTGAATTTCTTTGGGTTTTGTGATCTACAAACACGAAACGGACAGAAAAAAAAAAAACACTGCAAAAATCACTGAGATAACTGTGAAGATTTCTCGGTTTAATGAATAATTACCATAGATTTATTCCTGGTTATTCCATTTGGAAAGAATAAGAATTTCTTATCGATTATTCTAAAAACGTTTTCAGATTTTAGGAAATTTTATTGTTTGATGCAAACTCAACACTAACATCAACGACCGACGCGATTTAATTGGAGCAGTTCTACATCAGAATCAAAATGGCTCTGAAAAGCCAATATTTTTTTACTCCATAAAATTAAACAACGTACAGCAAAAATACAGTACATTCGCGAGGGAATTACTCGTAAATTACTTATCCATAAGACATTTCTGATATCTACTCGAAGAACATTTTACTGTTTTCACTGATCACAAACCATTCACTTATACTTTACACGTGAATACAGAAAAATATACAACCAGAAATACCAGACAACTGGATTATATATCCCAATTTACTTCGGATATCCGTTAAAGGTTCAGACAATATCATGACAGATACACTCTCGCACTCCACGATACAATGTATCGATTCTGAAACCTTCCACCTAACTACTGATGAACAAAAGATGCCACATTAGACAAAGTAAATGTGGACACTTCTTTGCAATTGAAAGAACACCCCGTTCCATTTGAAAAAAAAGACTAATCTGAGATGTGGGGACTGTTTATTCAAGACTATAAATATCACCGAGAAAAAAGATATTCAAACATTTTCACAGCCTCTCTCATCCTGGAATCTGAGCTATTATCAATTTCATTAGCAATCGTTTTGTCTGGCCCAATATGCGTACTGGCATAAAAAGCTGGACTCGAAACTGTTTAGACTTTTAAAAAAGCAAGGTAAACTGGCATACAAACTCCCCTTCTGGACGATTTATAAAACCAGACTTTAGGTTTGCGAACCTACACATCGATATAGTAGGACCCTTACCAGAAGCAAATGAATATCATTATCCACTCACTATTATCGATCGATTTAGAAGATGGCTTGTCGTTGTTCCCCTAAGGGATATATCTGCAAAAACAATCTCTAAAAGTATATTGGGGGAGTGGATAGCAATTTTTGGCTATCCCTGAATAATAACTCCAGATCGAGACTTCCAGTTTCAATCTACGGTCATCGATAAATTCACAAAGCTATTGGCAGTCAAGTACATAACAACAGCATATCCGCGTAGTTAAACGTTTTCACAAGTAATTTAAGGCAGCACTAACAGACAATAATGATTCCAGGACATCATTAGAAAATCTGACACTGGTTTTGTTATCCACCAGAAATGACATCAAGGGCAATTTAAAATGCATAGCGCATCCGAAATGATTTTTAGGACATCCTTGGCATAACCAGGACAGTTTTGCGATAAAAAAATCACCTACACTCAACCACATCGTTCGTACAAAATTTAAACAACAAATGATTGGTTTTCACACCCACTACAAAACGAACAAATGATATTTACACACTAAAAGATGAGAATAATTTTTCTTACGAAATGATGCAGTTAAAATCAAAACCTTTTCAATATATAGTATTTTACACTTTTATATATATATATATAGTCTCCAAAGACTGACTAAAACCGGCGTACTTGGATGTACCTACAACAGTACAAAGGAATGTTTTACATCCTCACCGAATACCAAAATGTGCGAACCATTTTCCACACTGCAAACAAACCTACAAACATCACCAGAAAATGGGGTAGACAAGTACATTGACCTACACAGTTTAAAAGGTATGTTAGATATAGAAAAATATTGTCAATATTTATCAATCTGCAGAGGAGGGGGTTATAGGATATAAAATCCTATGTTATACAACCAATAGGTGAATCACGAATAACAAAGAAACGCCCACACATAAATAGAATCAAAATTATTAAAAATAAAAAAAAAACATTCATCAGTAAAAACAATAGGATCCAAAATTAAATAATTGGTTTCTGGAATTTGATTGGACAGTACAGTCACGTGCTATGCTTCCGTCTATGTCCGTACGTTTGAACTCCAAACGAACTGGTCACTGGGTGCTATCCCGCGTAAACCGAAAAGATTTCGTTTGGAGCCGATTACATAATCAGGGTAACTATATATATATGGCGATTTCGTGGGTAATAAAAACACACACAGAGAGCAAAGACTCAGTCAGCAGCTGAACGTGGTCGATGAGAAGTGGTTGGATCTGTAAATACCCGACCAGAATTATCTTGTTACCATGACAACACCTCAGTCAGCGACGAATTCAAAAGAATTTTCCGATAACTCAAAGAAATACTCGTGGAAACCGTGGAAAAAAAGATAAGTCTGATCATCTATCTGTGAACCCATTTCCTTTTGGAATCAGCGTAATCAGATTTCATGTATTAACATTCACACACACAATTCGTTTCTATTAATGTTCTTCACGCACGCATCGACGCATTCAGTCAGCAGCTACACATACACTCTGCTTAAATGCGTTTCAGACACACGCACATATATACACACTTTATATTGACTAAGGCATATGACTTTACGACTACCCTTTATAATAAATGAAAAATTTTGTCGAACATTTGAAATATTGAATGTTGATTTTTTTACCACCAGAACAAACATAATGTTTACAATCTAAAAACAAATGTTAATATGTCCATAAATAAAGGATTATTTCAATATGGTTTTCCTTTTCGCCTATGTAAAAAAAAAAAGATTTCTTCGCGTTATGTTGTATTTGTGGACATAACACAGATAAAAGGAGGGGAATAATTTTCAACTAAAAAATTCTTATAAACTTATTTTTTAATTTAGTCACCATCATTAGTTATGAATTTTTGCCATAATGGAGGTAAAACTGACCGCTCGAAAAATATAGGAAAAAGAATTTTATGTCTATATTTTGAAGATGATCAGAAATCAATAGTTTTCGATTCTGATCAATGTAATCGATGTCTATATTTTGAAGAGATACTTTTATTGATTCAGCATTCCTCTACTTACGAATTTAAGAATGAGAAAACATTGATTATTAAATAATGTCAATATAATATTTTTTTTGATCAGAAAATAGTTTTCGGGACCAATGTAATCGATAGAAGAAGGTGGAATTAAGATCTATTAAAAA